AGGCACAGAGAAGTAAAGTTACTTGCTAGTTAAATGGCAGAGCCAGGATTCAAACCCAGGCAGTCTGACTCAGGAACAGCCTCTTAGCCCCTCCAGGAAGCTGGCAGATATTGAGCTGGTAAAGGAAGAGTCAGGGTCTCCAGATCTCCAGCCCAGGATCTTTCCCATCACCTCTCAAGGCTCACCTTCTCCTCCCTCCTGCTGCTTGCTCTGGGCCCATCTGAGCTCCTTCCCTGTCTGTCTGCCCATCTCACCTCTTGCTAAATGAGCGCCCATTTTGCTAGGAGAATAAGTTCCTGGCCCGAGGCTTAATATCCAACTCCGCTTTCATTAGCTGTTTGACCTTAGATGAGCTGCTAAACCTCTCTGGACCTTGGTGCCTTTGTCTATAAAACGAGGATAGGGATGGTAACTGGCTTTTTCGGTATTGTCAGAATCACAGCAGAGGAAGTGGATAAAGCCACTGTTTCAGCACCAGGCATGGAGAAATAGTTCATTATGTACTCATCCCATCAAAGATCCAGGAGGGAGGGCTTTCAGAGTGAGGATGGGTATCAGTTTGCTTGTTATAAAGCATAACTAAGCTGTCTCCACGTCTTAGGGGCACACACACACTGTGGCCACCATGGGTCAGCTTCAGCTCAGCTCTACACCATTTTTATTCTGGACTCAGGCTGAAGGAGCAGGCTCTATCTGGGACAGTCTCAATCTTGTGGCAAAGGGAATAATAGGCAGGCAGGGATGCTTGTGATCAGAAGTGGAATGCATCACTTCCACTCAAATTTCACTGGCCAAAGAAAGCCACATGGACTCACTGGGGGCAGGCATTTATAATTCTCCCATATGGAGGGTCCCTTTAAGACAGATCCCATCAGGAGAGGACCAATATATTTAATAATGTTAATTCTACCACAGTGGGAATTGAATAGGTGCAGTGAAGGACTGATGGGTGCTGCATGGAAGCATCTACAAGAGCAAAGACAGGGTAGGTGAATGTCACACAGAATCAGGGAGCAGTGTGACCAGTCTGGCTGGAGGAGAAGGTTCACGTAGAGCTATGTGACTGTGAGTCAGAGACAACTCCTGACGGCGTACTGGGCAGTGACTGAAGGCTAGGACAGTGGGGACACGTCTTAACTACAACACAGTTTACTGCATCTGGAAAAGATCAGCAGTCAAGTTCCCTTAGGCTGGATGTCATGGGCCCCTGGGGTTAAACTCATTCATGGCTCTCCATTCCTCTGAGTGTTCTGCAAATTGAATTATTCCATTATCACCTTCCAAGAATTTTACGGCAGGCTTATGTTTTCACGTATTGCTTTCCTGAGTTTTGCCTTATCTTCATTCCACCAATAGGATTGCTTAACATCAGTCATTTAAAGGTATTTGCTTGTATAACTTGGATTTATGTTTTGTGTCGGTCTGCTAGGGCTGCTGTAACAAAGCTCCACCCACTGCGTGGCTTAAATGTGAATTTACGTTCTCATGGTCTTGGAGGCTGGAAGCCCAAGATCAAGGTGGCAGCACGGTTGGTTTCTTCTGAGCCTCCCTTCTGGGCTCCTAGTGGGCTCTCTTCTCCCTGTGTCCTTACATGGTCTTCCTTTAAGATGTGTCTGTTCTAACCTCCACTGCTCTTGAGGACACCAAGGATACTGGATTAGGGCCCAGCCTAAAGACCTCATTTTAAACTTGTCAGCCTCTTTGAAGACACTATTTCCAAATACATTTACATTCTGAGGTACTCAGGGTTAAGACATCAACATGTGAATTTGGGGGGAGTTCAGTTCAGCCCATAATATGTCCCAAATAAATATCAAATCATAATCAAATCACAATAACAGTATCACCACCCTCATTTGACATATTAGAACCACCCAGAGCAGGGCGTGGCACACCGTGGGTGTTCAGTATTCGTTGCATACAAGATAGGATGATAGGGAATAATTGTCTTGATTGTGCTTATTTTACTACCATTCTAAGTAGCTGCTTGTTAAACGCTCTGAGGCTCCTCTCCTGTTGGCAGGAGGGAGGTCACAAGGTCTCGAGGAGCATTAAAGTCATATTAGTCACTGAGATTCCTGCTCTACTCAGCTAGAAGGACTGAAAGAGAATAACTCCCTTTATGTGATTCAGTGTTATTTTATTACCTCCTGAAAACCTTCCCCATCCCGCTGGTGGTTTGTGTTCTGCACCCAAGGAATCATCGGTCTGTCCGCAGGACAAAGCCACACTCTTACTGGAACACAGTCTTCCTGAACTCTCTCCCCCTTTATCCACTGCTTATACTCCATCGGGCTCAAGCATGACAAGTCAGCCCATCCTTCTCCATCTCTTCATAGATCCCTCTACCCTGCTGGCCTGGTGAACTCCTCGTCATCCCTTAGGACCCATCAAAAGATGCCCCTGGAAGATAGGTCCATTGAAAAAGTAGAACACAAGCTACCATTTGTAGTACAATTCCACCTTAAAGGGAAAAAACTACAAATATATTTCTGGAAACCATACATACTAACATATTAAAAAAGTGATGGGGACATAGTGATTTATTTTCTTTTTGCTTATCTGTGGTTTCTGACATTTTGACAGCCAACATGAATTCTTCTGTAATCGTAATAAAAAGGTACTTTTGATGTTTGAAAAGAGCAAGTGTCTTCATGTTCTCTTTTGGGAACTCTTCTTGAGTCTTATCCTGCTCCGTAAGATACACGCGCACCCCCACACACATGCCCTAGGCAGGCAAAGACAGTCGCATTTTGCTAACTTTGCATTTTGCACATAACTCTGTTGTTTCATTAATCACGTTGTTTTGAAATTATCTATTTACTTATCTCTTTCCCACCCTAATCTGAAGACTGTGGATCCTGGAACCACGATTCCTGAGATTAATTCTGGACCTACTACTTCACCCATTTGTTCATGGACTATTAACCATTCACCCGTGATCAGGCACCATCCTCGGCCACCTGGATGCACTTGTGTTCAGACCAGACAATGGCCCATGTCTTCATGGTTGGCGAGACACTGGCGGGCAGCTCCAAGACAGTAACCCGTGAGTATAACACACTAGCAAACTCAATAGTATGTTAGAAGGTCTAAGTGCTGTGCAAAGATGACACTGCAGAGCACAGTAAGAGGGCCTGAGAGTGTGTGAGGAGGTATGAGATGGGATGGGCGTGGTCGGTCTGGGCACTGGAGAGAAGACAATTTCTGAATAAGAACTTGTAAGAAGTGGGGGTGTTACCCACGCAGCTCACTGGTGGTGGGGCATTGCCGGGGGCAGGGAAGAGTCAGTGCAAAAGCACAAAAGCAGGGGTCTGCCTGGTGCTATGGCCTGAAGTGTGATCCCCAAATCCATACATTGAAGCCCTAACCCCCAGTGTGACCGTATGTGGAGACAAGGCCTTTAAGGAAGTAATTGTTCCAATGAGGTCATAAGAATGGACCCGGATCCCATAGGGCCAATGTCCTTATAAGAAGAGAAAAAGACACCAGCAGTGTGTCCACGCAGAGGGCAGGCCTCGGGCGGGCACCTGACAAGGGAGCCATCTACCAGCCAGGAAGAGAGGCTTCACCAGAAACCAATCCTGACGGGACCTTGACCTTGGACTTCCAGCCACCAGAACTGTGAGAAAACACATTTCTGTTGTTTAAGTCTCCTAGCCCGTGGTCCCTTGTTTTGCAGCCCGAGCAGACTAACGCATCTGGTATTTTGGGAAAAGGGGAAGGAAGCTGGTGTAACCTGGGGCAGATTGGGTGATGAGGTTAGAGAGGTGCCTCCTCAGAGGACCTGATAAGCTGGGGGAGCAGGTCCTCTGGGACCTTGTGGGTTGTTGTACAGATTTTGCTTTCGCTCAGAAGGAAGTGGGAAGCCAGGATAGGGTTTTGAGCTGACAAGTGACACACTCAGAACAATGCTTCAACAACGACTGCTTGGAATAACACAAATTGTGGGAAGATCAGTTGGAGAAGAATGAAATCATGCAGGGGGGAAATGAGAGTGGCTTGGGCCAGCATGGAGGAGAGAGCAGTTGTCAGGCTGACAGCGTGTAATGGATGGAGTGAGGGGGTGAGAGAGAAAGGGATGACTCTGAGGTTTACGAGATGAGCGGCTGGAGAGTGGCAGCTGCTGACGACTGAGATGGGAGGGGACGTGGGGTGATGAGTGGATGCCAGGAACACTTAAACATCCTTGTCCAGGGGAGCCCCCCCACCACAAAGAATAATCCAGCCCCAATGTCAATAGTCCTGAGGTTGAGAAACCCTCGTATAGTGGGTGAGGTGGGTGAAGCAGGGTTGGGCTGGGAGCAAGATGTATATCACAGGGAAGATCAACCATTCTGTGTTGGACACGGCCCCTTCCCTTATTGGTTCTCTGTATGCTGGTTTGTGAGGTTAGGATGTCATTTTACCTCTCTGGGCCTCAGTGTTCTTATCTATAAAATGGGGACAAAAGTTCTACTGCCTTGCAGGGGTTTTGTGGAATATAAAGGGAAAGCAATTGGAATGGTGCCTAACACGGAGGAAGTACTCAAGACATTTTAGCCGCAATAATTGGAGGGGAGAATGTGCCTTATTCTTGGTGTAGCTCTAGCACTGAGAACAAGGCCAGACGCATAGTAAGTACTCAGCGGAGGCTTATCAACTGACCCACCAAAGTGATCACAGGGTTTCTGTCTGACTCTGTATGGGTTTTCCCCAGGGCCCACTCAAGCTGGAAGTTAAAGGTGAATGTTGAAAGTCAGGTTTGTCAGCTCATTTCCCTGGAGCCTGGATAAGGAGAGGCCAAGTGAAGTTTCTGTTGAAACCTACTAGCAGGAAAGCCTGGGCCAAGTGTGACCCAACCCGCATTGTCAGTTTAGACAGGCATTCTGAGAGCCTCCTGCTGGCTCTGTCTGAAGCCTGGGTCTTTTTTTTTTTTTAAAGTGTGACTTCATTTCTTGATTCAAGTGGCTTTACATGTCAGATTTTGTTAACTTATTAATAGACAAATGTTTTTTTAGGTCCTACCAAGAAAGAGATCATGTGTTCTTTTGATCAAGCCATATGCAGTGTTGAACTGTCTCACGCAACTGGAGCTCATCCATTTGTTTCTATGCCATGACCTGTGAGAGTTTCTCCCGGAGCCTGTGGTAAGTGGTTTCACAGCCCTCCTGTCCCTTCACCTTGTAAACCACAGGGATGCATGTATCATGCACATGTACCAGACTTCAGCTTGCCGGTGTGCAGCTATGTGTCAGAGACAGGGGAGGGCAGTTCCGCATAAGCTAAGCAAATCCCTTCCATTCCCAAGACCCGTGTGTTAGGATGACTTCAGCTGTAGGCAACAAAGTCAACTTAAACTTGATATCCAATGTTGGAATGTTCACGTACAGATGCAGCTATGAGATATAAAATCTGGCCTAGCAAGTCACTCAGAAGATTGGTTCATCCAGCTGTTCAACAAATCATCAGAAGCCCTGATGTCACTCACTCTTGTGCTCTTACAGTCAGCACATTACTGGGGCACACAGGTACTCAAAGAAAGTTTGTTCAAAGATTGAGAAAACAAAGAGTAGATTTGATTTTGGCTCAAGTGCTCCCCTGTACTTGCAAGATGGCAGAGTAGGACACACAGCTCACCCTCTCCCACGAGTGCACCGAGAATTACATATATAGAGCCATTAATTTGCACAGAACTCCTACTGACCTTTGGCAGAATATCCCTTACTTTGAAATATAAGAAGATTCTGCTGCCTACAAGAGACCCACTTTAGGGTGAAGGACACACACAGATTGAAAGTGAGAGGATGGAAATGATGAGCAAGCAGGAGTAGCAATACTCATATTAGACCAAACATACTTTAAAACAAAGACCATAAATAAAGGTAAAGAAGGACACCATATAATGATCAAAGGAGCAGTGCAAGTTGAGGATATTACACTTGTTAACATATATGCAGCACCTAAATATATAAAACAAATACTAACAGACATAAAGGGAGAAATTGTTGGGAACACAATGATAGTAGGAGACTTTGACGCCCCACTAACATCACTGGACAGGTCTTCCTGACAGAAAATCAATAAGGCAATGGAGATACGAACTTGGTTTATATTTTTAGGACAGTACACCCCCCAAAATCAGAATATGCAGTCTTTTCAAGGGCTCATGGAACATCCTCTAGGATAGACCACATACTCAGGCACAAAAGAAGCCTCAACAAATTTAAGAGGATAGAAATTATTCCAAGCATCTTTTCTGACTACAATGGCATGAAACTAGAAATCAACCACAGAAAAACAAATGAGAAAAAAATGACAGCATAGAGACTAAACAACACACTACTGAAAAAAACCAATGGGTCAACGATGAGATCAAAGAAGAAATTAAAAACTACTTTGAGACAAATGACAATGAAAACACAACCACACAAAATCTATGGAATGCAGCAAAAGCAGTCCTAAGAGGGAAGGACATAGTGATACAGGCCTTCATCAAAAAAACAATATTCTCAAATAAACAACATAACCTACCATCTAAAAGAGCTAGAAAAAGAACAAACAAAACCTAAAATCAGCAGAAGGAAAAATGTAATAAAGATCAGGGAGGAAATAAATAAAATAGAGATTTAAAAAATAGAGAAAAAATCAAACCAAGAGCTGGGTTTTTTTAAAGAGTAAACAAAATCAACAAACCTCTGGCCAGGCTCACCAAGAAGAAAAGAGGACACAAATAAATAAAATAAGACAGGAGAATGAAGAAATTACAACCAATACCACAGAAATTTAAGAAAAAAAACCATAAGAGAATACTATGAACAAATATATGGCAACAAATTGGACAACCTAGAAGAAATAGCCAAGTTTCTAGAAATATATAGTCTGCCCCAAGACTGAATCAAGAAGAGACTGATCCCTAGAAGTGAAATCAAATCAGCAATAAAAAGCCTCCCTGCAAACGGAAGTCCAGGACCAGATGGCTTCTACCAAACATACAAAAAGAGAACTCATACCGATCCTTCTCAAACTGTTCCAAAAGACTGAAGGAGGGAATACCCCAAAACTCACTCTATGATGCTGTCACCAGACAAAGACAATGCCAGAAAAAGAAAATTGCAGGTCAGTATCATTGATGAACAATGCAAGAACTCTCAGCAGAATATTAGCAGAGTCCAACAACATATAAAAAAAAATCATACATCATGATCAAGTTGGATTCATCCAGGGACACAAGGATGATTCAACATAAGCAAATCGATAAATGTGATACACCACATCAACAAAACAAAGGACAAAAATCACATGATCATCTCAATAGATGCAGAAAGAGCATTGGATAAAATTCAACACCCATTTATGATAAAAATTCTCACCAAAGTGCATATAGAGGGAACATATCTCAACATAAAAGCTATTTATGACAAACCTACAGCCAGCATAATACTGAACAGAGAAAAGTTGAAAGCCTTCCCACTAAAATCTGGAACAAAACAAGGATGCCTACTCTCACCACTTCTATTCAACATAGTCTTGGAAGTCCTAGCCATTACAATCAGGCAAAAGAAATAAAAAGGATCCAAACTGGAAGGGAAGAGGTATAATTGTCACTATATGCAGGTGACATGATACTACATATAGAAAACCCTAAAAGCTCCACACAAAAACTACTAGATCTGATAAAATAATTCAGCAAGGTAGCAGGATACAAGATTAACATACAGAAATCAGTCACACTTCTTTGCACTAACAATGAAATATCAGAAAAGGAAAGAAAGAATCCCATTTAAAAATCACATCCAAAAAAATAAAATACTTAGGAATAAATCTGACTAAGGTGGTGAAAGACATATGCAGAGAACTACAAAACACTGATTAAGGAAATTAAAGATGACTTAAAGAGATCCAATGCTATTAGATTGGGAGAATTAAAATGGCCATACTACCCAAAGCAGTCTACAGATTTAATGTGATCCCTATCAAATTACTCAGGACTTCACAGAACTAGAACAAATAATCCTAAAATTTATATAGAATCACAAAAGACCCAGAATTGTAAAAGCAGTACTGAAGGAAAAGAATGAAGCTGGAGGAATAATCCTCCCAGACTTTAAACAATACCGTAGAGCTACAGTATCAAAACAAGTGTAGTACTGGGACAAAAACAGACATATGGATCAATGGAACAGAACAGAGAGCCCAGAAATAAACCCACAGACTTACAGTCAATTAATCTTCAACAAAGGAGGCAAGAACATACAAAGGAGAAAAGACAGTCTCTTCAACAAGTGGTGTTGGGAAAACGGGACAGCAGCATGTAAGTCAATGAAGTTAGAACACTCCTTCACACCATACACAAAAATAAACTGAAAATGGCTTAAAGACTTATGAGACAAGACACTATTAACCTCCTAGAAGAAAACATAGTCAAAACATTCTCTAACATAAATCTCAGCAATGTTCTCCTAGGGCAGTCTACCCAGGCAATAGAAATAAGAGGAAAAATAAACAAATGGGACCTAATTAAACTTACAAACTTTTGCACAGCAAAAGAAACCATAAGCAAAACAACATGACAACCTATAGAATGGGAGAAAATATTTGCAAATGATGCAACTGACAAAGGCTTAATTTCCAGAATATATGAACAGCTCATACAACTTAATAACACAAAACAAACAACCCAATCCAAAAATGGACAGAGGACATAAACAAGCAATTCACCAACGAAGACATACACATGGGCAATAAGCACATGAAAAAATGCTCAATATCACTGATTATCAGAGAAATGCAAATCAATACCACAATGAAGTATCACCTCACACCAGTCAGAATGGCCATCGTTCAAGAGTCCACAAATGATAATTTCCAGAAAAAGTATGGATAAAAGGGAACCCTCCTACACTATTGGTAGGAATGCTTTCTGGTGCAGCCATTATGGAAAACAGAATGGAGATTCCTCAAAAAAAACTAAAAATAGACTTACCATATGGTCCAGCAGTCCCACTCCTGGGCATATATCCAGAAGGAACTCTTAATTCGAAAAGATACATGCTCCTCAATATTCATAGCAGCACTATTTACAATACCCAGGACACAGAAACAACCTAAATGTCTGTCCATCAACAGATGACTGGATATAGAAGTTGTGATATACACACACACACACACACACACAATGGAATACTACTCAGCCAATAAAAAAATAAAAATGCCATTTGCAGCAATATGGATGGACTTCTAGAGATCATCATTCTAATTAAGCCAGAGAAAGAAAGAAAATTACTGTATGTCACTCATATGTGGAATATAAAAGAAAGAAAAAAAGAAGACACTAATGAACTTATCTATAAAACAGAAACAGACTTACAGACATAGTAAACAAACCTGTGATTACTGGCGGGGAAGAGGGTGGGAAGGGATAAATTGGGAGTTCAAGAATTGCTAATATTTACTATATATAAAATAGGTTTTAAAAAAACAAATTTCTTCTGTATAGCACAGGAAACAGTACTCAATATCTTATAGTAACATATAAGGAAAGAGAATATGAAAATGAATAGATGTATGTATACGTATGACTGGGACATTATGCTGTACATCAGAAATCAAAACATTGTAACTGACTATACTTCAATTTAAAAAACAAACAAACAAAAACCATGGTGGCCATACTCCTGGGCATCCCATCTGGACACAATTATGTCCAGGTAAAACAAAGATTATTTTTTCCTGTGTTTGGGATTTTCTCATATTTTTATATTAAAGTATTTCATATAAACAAATACCACTATATACATCCATATGTGATTTTACTGAATTATATGTAATTCATATATTATATATATAAGGTTTAAAGAATAGCAAAATTAATGTTCATATAACTAATCAATGTAATAAACAGGGCTTAATTAAACCGCTGACTCTTTCTGTCCACCTCCAATCACATTTCTTTCCCTTCCCACTTGTCTCCAGAGAGCTAATCATTAATCTATTAATCATTGCTTCATTATTATCCTTTCTGTGAACACCCAAGACTCTACCTCATGTTTTATTGGCTAGAACAGGGTCACATGCTTTCCATTAATCAATCACAGACAAGAGACTGGCTTGAGCTGTTCAATCACAGGCTGTGATCTGCTTGAGCAAA